GCACTCAGGAAGCTGAGGCAGGAGAATTGTTGCAAGTTCAAGACCAGCCTGGGCTACAGTGAGGTCAAGGCCAGCCTGAACTGCATAATGAGACACTGTCTCAAAAAGACAAAAAAAAAAAAAAAAAAAAAAAGGGGCTGGGGATTTAGCTCAGCGGCAAAAGCGCCTGCCTGGCAAGCGCAAGGTCGTGAATTCGGTTCCCGGTACCGGAGAAAAAACCAAAAAATTTAAAAAAAGAAAATTAAAAAAGAAAGAAAAACAGCAGTGATAAGGGAGGGTTGACTGGCCCATCTGCTGATCCAGTTTCATAGGACAGAGAAGTGACATTATAGATTCAAGGCAAAGAGCTTGGGCTTTGGAATCAAAAAGACCCTGCCATTTAAATATGCTACAACCCTGGGAGAGTCATTTGAACTTAACTGGGGATTTTGTTTTGCACACATAAGCCTGGGAACGGAGCTGAGAGGCAGCACAGCAGTAGAGCACTTGCCCAGCATGTGCAAGGCCCAGGGCTGATCCCCAGCACCTCACAAAAGAGATGGGGCTGTTCCCCCGTGGGGCTTTGTGAAGAAGGTTCAGGAGTGATGCTGGAGTGGTTATTTGAGTTGTAGGCTGAAGCAGCCACCTCTTCATCGAACACAAGTTTTACTTGAAAGAATGACACTAAATAAATGAGGTAGGGATTACTGTTTTACCATATGTGGGATTAGAAATCTCAGAGTTACAGTGTAGAAGGAGATGAAGCAGTGTTGGACTCTGCTTCAGCTCATGGGCTTCACAGAGTGGGAAAGGGCCCTGGAGCTTGTGTGGGAGTTTGGCTTTTCCTTTGACTTCTGAACCTCCCTGTTTGTGTTTCCATTCCTCTGTCTTTGCTTACAGAGGTCACTGGTGAGAAACTAACTCAGTTGTGCGGCCACCTGTGAGAAAAATGGTCGTTTCAGATCTGCAGAAGTCAGTGCCACTAGCCAGACTTCTCTCCTTTTGCGCTGGTATCTGAGATTAATAACTTACAAAAATAGGACTAAAAGATATTTAAAATCAATGAGTCAGGTACGTAACTTTCCGTGATAGCCCACACTCCGTTTCCCAGACACAGTGTGTACGACCAGCTCACTCTGCAGATCCGGTTTCCCCCACTCTTTACTTTTACCTTTTCAAATACACTTTGTCACTGAAAAATAAAATAAATGACTCAAGGAATTTATTTCCAAGTTTAATAAGCCTTTTGTATTTTTTTCTTAGAAGCAAGAAAATGTATTCCACAACCATGACAACCTGATTGTCTGCCCAGGCATTTTTACCTGTGTGTGTGTAATAATGAGACTGGTTCTGGAATATAGGGTGTAGGAGTATGAGTGAGTCAGGGTACAAAATGAAGTTAGAAAATACAGCAAGAAAGTTTGCAGTAGGAAGAAGAAGGAAGCCCTTGTAGCCTTATTGAATTTCAAATACAGCCTTCTTTTTTGAGTAGGTATTTACACACAGTACAGAAATCAAAAGTATGCAGAAAGATATACATCAACTGAGGCATCTTCTGTCCCTGTGTTTGTCTGCCCTTGGTCCACAGACTCCCCTGCCATAGGTCACTGTTCACGTGGTTTTTATGTGTCCTTCAGGATTTCTTTCTGCAAATACAGGCAGGAAGATTGTATTCTCCCTTTACTATCTCCCAGCTCAGATAGCAATCTAGACATTTACCTAACAGTGTGTCCTGGAGGTCTGTCCATACCATTCTCATGTCTGGTATGTTTGCTGAGAAAATTCACTTCTCACGAGAAAAGGTTTTTTTCTGGCTCTGTGATCAGTTGTCCCATTGCTTAGGCCCTGTGCTGAAGGAAGTACGTCATGGCAGGAGCACGCAGTAGAATGGGACCATTTATGTCATGAACAGGGAGCAGTAGGGAGCTAGAGGAAGGGCCAAGGTCTCACAAACCCCTTTAGGGCTGGCTCCCAGTGACCCAAGGACCTCCCTGTGACAAGGTTCCACAGTTTTCTACTAGCAATGCCTACCCTGGGACCCAAGCCTTTACTACCTGGGCCTTTGAGGGGACATTCAAGATCCCACTTTCTAAAATGCTGAAATAAATTCTTTTGAACGATCCAGACTGTACCATGGATACCAGGCCATGACGGTCTCCTACATATGGGTACCTGGTTTGTCTATAGTCGTTGATTTTAAAATAACACAGCAGTGATACTGTTACGTATGTCACTTCTTTGCAGTTATATCTGTGCGGTACATCCCCAGAAATGCAATTGCTAGATTTTAGAGGAAATGAGGTTGTAAATTTAACAGAGATGAAAGCAAAAGAGTACCTGGCCTTCAGTAGTACTTGACTCTTGTGAGTAGTGAAATTCAGTAATGAGAGTTACCAGAAATTCTTCACCATTTGTTTCTGATCAGATCGTTCATCTGGTTCAATTCTCTTAGAGTCCCCACTTGGCTCTGTGTGTGCTGTGGATACATGCTGTAAATATTTATGCCATTTGTAATGAGAGTGGATAAACCTTGGAGAAGGAGACCCACTTTCTTAGCTGCTTACATAAGTATGGGTTGCTTCATCTCTTTCCACTGGAAAATTCTCTGAACCTGCTGACAGCAGGATACAGCAAGAAGCCTGTGTTCTAGTGGCACATGCAGTGTGGAACCAGGCTCGGGAAACTGGGCATGGGCCCACCGGACAGAAGCACTGTTCTGCTGTTGTGCTGTGATGTTTCCATTGGGAAGGTATTCATGTACAGTATTTGCAGGTATGATGTGAAGCGTATTTTATACAGTACTTTGTCAAATTAGGCGACAAGTTTGTTTTTGTTTTTCTTTTGGTACCAGGAATCGAACTCAGGACCTTGCCCTTGCCAGGCAGGCGTTTGTAGATGACAAGTTTAGCAAATCCAGATGTGTTGTATGAATCTGCTTAGGCGGTTCCATGGAAACAAAACTTATCTGAGCATGGCACTATTAGAAATACACATAGAGGAAACCAAGAAGGTAGGAGCACTACTTGAAGGAAAGGCGAGGACCTAAATCTGTACTCCCTGGCAGCTTAGTACAGTTCCTCATAGTGGAGTCTTTAAGAACTAATTCTAAAACTAGGCATGATGTCCTGTAGCTGTAACCAGTCCCAGCTTCTTGGAAGGTCAAGGCAAGAGGATTACTTACAGTCAGCACAACATAGTGAGACCCCATCTCCCCCCAAAATTATTCTATCTCTGACACATTTTACTTTCTCATTTCGAATTCCTTGCCTCATGGGTCACTTTGTTCTTTAAGTTATAGAGCCAACTTCTGGGCTGCAGTTGGTACTGTCTTTTCTTATTAGTCCTCAGAGATACAGTGATGTATTGCTTAACAATGGGATATGTTCTGAGAAAAGCATTAGTAGGCCATTTCAGACATTGTAGCCCGTACTTATACAAACCAAGGTGGCTGTGACATCACAAAGTGATGCATCATTGTATACATGGTCTGTCATTGACCAAAACTTCATGCAGCACGTGACTTATTCACATGCATTCAAATAAGCTGGGAAACAGTTACTTAATTAAACTATGCTAAGAAACAGTCCACTTCAAACGGGTTAGTGTTTAGTAATTTTGGCATTGCAAAATGAAAACTTATTGTACAATGTAATGTGTACTACATATCCTTGATGGCAAATTTGCAGACAGATTGCTGGATTAGGCCAGAATAAACGACAGGGAGGTGTCAAGTGGTTTTTCCAACTCCATAAGCAGCTGTAGAGAACACTTACGATTAGAAAAAGAAAGGCTAGACCAGATATGGTGGTACATACCTGTAATTTCAGCCCTCTGGGAGACTGAGACAGGAGGCTTGCAAGTTCAAGCCCAGCCTGGGCAATTTAGCAGTTTACTAATGCCCTTCTTAAAATAAAAGAGTCGGGGATGTATCTCTGTGCAAAGGCTCTGACACCACCAGTAACACACACAAAAAAGAGCAGGGCATGGTGGCACACAGTTTTAATCCCAGCATTTGGGACGCTGAGGCAGGAGGATTGCCCGAGTTCAAGGCCAGCCTGGGCTACCTAATTCAAGACCAGCCTGAACTACATAGCAAGTTCCTGCCTCAGAAAACTGGGATGTAGCTCAGAGCAAAAGCGTGGATTCAATCCCCAATTTACAAAACTGCTTCTGTTGCATTTAATCTTTTGTTTTGGAGACAGGGTCTCACTCTGTAGTTCAGGCTGGCTTTGAACTTCCTTTGTAGCCCATGCTGGCCTCGAACTCATGGTGATCCTGTCTCCAGAAAAGACAAAAAAGAAAAGGAGGAAGGAAGGAAAGGAAGGAAATACTAAATTACATTTACACCTGTCATTTAGTGGTTATTCCATGCTAATAAGTTTAATAGTGTCACCTTCTTACCTGAGGCCTAATTAGAAGTAGTTGGTGCTGTCTATCTCAGCTCTCCTGTAATCCTTTTAATAAATTTGTTTCTCTTAACTGTACCCATTTTCTTCTTTCTATAAAAATGTTTCTTCAGAGAGTTTAAATGTTTTATCCCTATTTTAAATACAAAATGCTCTCCCCGCCACCCCAGTACTGGAGATTAAAGCCAGGGCCTCTGCACTGAGCTATATCCCTGGCTATTTTTTTTTTTTTTTTTTTTTTTTTCTTGTGTTTGTGTTTTATTTTTTAAGGCTTTAGTGTAATAATTGGTGCTTTATTTTTTTTTTTTGGAAGCAGGGTCTTGGTAGGTCGCTAAGTTACCCAGGCTGGATTTGCACTTGAAGTCTTCCTGCCTCAGCCTCCCAGGATACTTGGATTACAAGTGTGCACGACCATTCAAAAAATTTGTTACTACTGTTATTAAAATGAGTAATGGGGGACTGGAGATATAGCTCAGTGGCACAAGCGCCTGCCTGCCAAGTGCAAGGTCCTAAGTTCGATCCCTGGTACCAAAACAACAAAACAAAATAAAACAACAGAACAAATAATGTACCAAAACAATATAGATTGATTTTCCTCTTTCAAATCCCTCCCAGCGAACCAGTAATGTTCGATCCACATTTTTCAAAGACTGTTTATATGAAGTATTTGATGACCTAGAGTCAAAGATGGAAGATTCTGGAAAACAGCTTCTGCAGTCAGTTCTTCATCTGATGGAAAATGGAGCCCTAGTATTAACAACAAACTTTGACAATCTCCTGGAACTGTACGCAGCAGACCAGGGAAAACAGCTTGAGTCCCTTGACCTTACTGATGAGAAAAAGGTAAAGCATTAATCTGTTATTCAAGCTAGTGGGTCATGTCTGACTCAGAAAAACTGTTTTCTGCTTGGTATTTATGTTATGCAAGAGAATAAGCATTTCCCCCCTTATACTTTTGGGGTTTATTTGTTTACTTTTGAGATAAAATCAACATACATTAAAATGCACAAATCTTGAAAGTATTCACTTTACGGTTTTTGAGACTTTAGCCCAGTTTTAAAAGCAAGACTAGAGGAAGGCATTTGAACTGTGAGATCTCTTTAGCACGTGATAGTATCAAGTAGTAAAATGTTTATTTAGTATTCTCCAGGGAGCACTTTGGCATTTTTTTAGAAATATATGAAGACTCCTTTTTGATGATTGGAAGAGCAAGTTCCAGGCTGGGTGGTTGAGGTTAACATTCAGCACTTCTTTTT